TAATACCGCAGTTCAAAATATATGAACTTCATATATTCATTGTATCTGATTTATCATCACGGGTTTATTACGAATCAACTTAACGGCCTGCTCCCAGTTGGCTTGTTAGCTCAATTGGTAGAGCGCTGCACTAGTATCGCAGAGGTCAGTGGTTCGAATCCCGTACAGGCCTGATTTTTTTTCAGGTCTGATTTTCGCTATTGCATAAATAGCGCTATCTACTGCGAAGGATCGTGCATCATACGTATTTAATACCGCAGTTCAAAATATATGAACTTCATATATTCATTGTATCTGATTTATCATCACGGGTTTATTACGAATCAACTTAACGGCCTGCTCCCAGTTGGCTTGTTAGCTCAATTGGTAGAGCGCTGCACTAGTATCGCAGAGGTCAGTGGTTCGAATCCCGTACAGGCCTGATTTTTTTCAGGTCTGATTTTCGCTATTGCATAAATAGCGCTATCTACTGCGAAGGATCGTGCATCATACGTATTTAATACCGCAGTTCAAAATATATGAACTTCATATATTCATTGTATCTGATTTATCATCACGGGTTTATTACGAATCAACTTAACGGCCTGCTCCCAGTTGGCTTGTTAGCTCAATTGGTAGAGCGCTGCACTAGTATCGCAGAGGTCAGTGGTTCGAATCCCGTACAGGCCTGATTTTTTTTTAGGTCTGATTTTCGCTATTGCATAAATAGCGCTCTCTACTGCGAGGATAGTGCATCATACGCTCTTTTCATAGTTGAAACTTATAAACTAGAAGGTAACCTACCCTTATGGACTATACAGCTATGTAGAAGTTTGAAAGGTATGGTATTTCATGCCGGTTCTGGATTTTTAGCATTACGAGTTTTCTGGTTTCCAAGGGAAGCACGAAAACGTAAATTCAAAATCGATAATAGAACAAGAGAATTAAATAGAAAAAATGTCAGTCATTTGAGTTAAATTTTCAGATGAGTTCTACTTACCCTTGACATCGGGTCTGATGCGAGGCTTATTTACGTTACAAGAAAGCGCGCTCCGTAAACCAACTGAACTAGCGGACTTTTAGGAGCCAGATCTGAATACAGGCATGCATGGATATCTCAGAGGCCAGGGGTCCGTTTCCCCAAAGTCCCGCTGAGCCATATTCTACGATCTAAATTCTTGGGACTTAGCTCAAAAACCATTACACTCTGTTTCATCTGCAAATGTCATTATTCCTTTAATTTCAAACCTATCACTACCTTGATCCTGAGTGCTAAACTCACGACCAAAGAGGACAGCTTTCTTTCGAGAAATGGATCCCCGGTCAGAGAACAGATGTGGAAAGTGATATTTGTTTTTTTTGCCTGGGTTAAGATCAGACAAAGCGCACCTTACATCATCTGAGGCGAAGGGAAGATTTATGCGCTTTCCGGTGGCGTGTAAATTTCAACGTCACTGATGCTCTAAATCCAGTTCACCGCTTACGGCGAATGTTCCTTGTCATACATATGTTTCTATTTGGAAGTACAATTCTTTGGGAAACTTCGATGTACAATTTTGTAACGTGATTACAGTTGTTTGGTTCGAGGAAGAATCCTTAAAACAGTATTGGGTAAAAACAGATCGTTTTAGCGTGGAACCGCTTATTCAGTAGAAATTCTTGAGTACTGAGGATTTATTTTACTGAACGACGAAAATTTTTTTCCCTAGATAATCAGTTAGGGAATCGATGACACTTACAAGTGTTTCATTGATCGCTTCAATTACAGAAATTAAAAACATGAAACTCGTTTTAAAAAAATGAAATCAGTGGTTTTATTCATTCAAAATGCCCAAATCGTGGCTACAAAAAAACTATCCAGTCGACTTTCAGTTAAACTGACTACCTCTCTTCCTAAGCCTGTACAAGGGTATACCGAAACCAGTCGCTTTTCGCAACAAAATCAAGGCGTCAAGAGGCCATTGATCATTTTTTTTTACATTCGGAGCAGCTGAACAGAGTTTGTAATAACTTCGATTCTTCTAAATAGGCGACATTCTAATTTCAGACCTCGATCGATTGCAACAGGATGTGTTTTCAACCGGCGAATATAAACATTTTAAGAGCATTTAGAATATTGTAACAAATAATATTATCGCTGCTCAGTCTCTTTAGGAACGTTAAATGAAAAAGACATCGCTAATTTCTAATAGAAAGATGAAAAAATTGTCATATGTCATTCGTGATGTACATTGCAATATTTGCAAGTAGAACCTTGATTTTCAATCGTCATTTAAAATCCCATTTGCGTGGAGGAAAGCTCCCTTTCCAGAACTTATCTTCTGAAGAGATCTCTAGCACTAGATTTGGCTTCTTTACTTCTATTTTTCGCGAAGAAAAATAAGGAAAAACAGCAAGTAAACATCTACTAGGTGTTTTGCATGAAAGCAGATGTTTACACCCGAATGCGCCTCAGGGGAGACTGGTGCGATCGGTCACGTGATTACGCGTATCAACAGCAACGTGTGCTAACTTGAAATCAACTCGAAGCCAGCAAGTAACCGCCAAGAAAAGCACGGTAATTTCTCATCTTATACTGAAAATTTTAGCCTGAAATTCTCCAATACGTTAGGAAAATTATTTGACTTCTTATATGGAGTATTTATTTGCAGCTATGAGGCGATTTTTGTCGTAAATTTGTTGATCAAAGTGTGCGTTATTTTTAGTTATCGGACCGCAATGTAAATCATTTCGTGACACAGAAGCAACAGACCAAATACATCTCATACATTTCGGACGGAATGGTACATTTGATCGCATAGTTTCTTCTTATAGTTCAGACAACCTATCTAAAAAAAATGTGAACATTTCGAAAATTTCAATTTATGAATACTGAGTTCAGCTTCAAACAGAATGTGAACAATGTTTGAGGAAAGCTCTTCGGTATCAACGGTGTCGGGGTAATTTCAAGTTGGAGAATTTTTCTGTCAGACAAAAGGTAGATTTCTTATTCATCTTTGCTGGCTTTCAAACATCATTCTCGATAATCATTTCATCACAGCCTTGAAAATTTTCTTGTCCTAGACAAAGCAGAGCGATTTCTATTTCAAAATGCCTGTGAAACCGAAAGAGAATATGTTGGATCAGGTTGTATGTATGCACCATTTGCCGTGCCGGAATAAATTTCGGGCTTGAATTATGCGCTTCGATTGTAAAGAATTTTTTAAGTCGCACAACAATACAAGGAATTGAAAGATCGATCATGTTTTAATGGACAATTCTGAATTGGTTTTTCAGATTTTGTTTGCATCTGTTGTACAAATTTTTTCGTTCATACCATCGCATAGTGTAAGTCAACGACGGTTTATCAGTCCTCCAGCAACTTCGAGTTCTTCCGTCATGTAGCTGAATCGGCCAACATTTTAATTTACTGCTGATATTGGTTACGGAGAATAAGGCTGGATTTTTCTTCGGGATTTAATTCTGGCTATCTCTCGGCTTGCTAACCGCTCAAAATTGGTTCCTCGACCTTCTGAATTGAAAAAATCTTCGGTCAATTTCAGGCCGCGTGGCCGATGACGGCCTAAATCAGTAAATCTAAGTTTGGCGAAACGAGTTTTCTAGGTCGTGACTAAACACGCCGTACAAATTCTATAAATAAAACTGAACTTCATGGTGATAAAGTTATTTCTCCTATTGCATGTATTTATGGCTGAATGAGAGAATTATCGATCTATACTGAAACCTTCTTCTGAATAAAACTTAAGTTTTGTGTTTCGGTCTCATCAGTCCTAAACATTTCTTTCTGTGTCAAGAGCTTGATCATGCGAAGGAGTATGTAGTACTTCTCTAACGAAAAGGTATGTGAGGTCGTCGATTAGAACAAGGTTTTTTAAGTCATTTTCCTAGGTTTTTTTTTAATTCTTTAAATTAGCTAAGAATGTAGTAGATTCAAATTTTCCACATTCCGACGTAAAAGCAATTTGTCCTCAAAGCACTCGTGAACTCCAATGTTCTTGTTATTTGGGCTACAAAGCGAAGTGATTCACGACTCAGTCCACTTTAAAGAGCCATCGAATTACACGAGGATGCATGTCATCGGTTAAAAGAACCGTAAGATGAAGATATTCACTTAAAGGACGCCTGAGAAGTTGATAAAGGTATACGGATAAACTGCTACAGCGAGTTGTGGAAAGCTGATGGTCTAACCGTTTGCTCTACCTTAGGCGAAGGGCTAGCAAAGACAAACGGTTCGAGTTTTCAGCTGTTCAAAATTTGTCACGGTGATTTTTCTACCGTAATGAAATTCTGGTTAGCAATCCGGCAGTTATCTGCTTTACATGGCCATCGACGAAGCACGACAGTGCGTTTAGATACTATAATCAGTATGTCCGTAATTCCGGGAGAACCCTCAGTTTGGGAAAAATCTATCAGGAATTGAAGTGTAATCCGCGGTTGCATTTTCCTAACATTTTAAACAACAGATAGATACGATTCCCACTATTTTTTCCGGACCGATACGTCGTTTTGGGTCGATGGCACATCCTCTAAACTTTCGCTAAAAAATGTTGACAATAGCGTTGCCGAACTCTTGCATATATCACTTTCGAAAATCTTACAAAGACAAAAGGCTACGCTTGCAGCAAACCAAACGGCGGAGTTTTCCACTCATTTCGTTAATACTACTTCTTTTAAACCTCACATAGATCCATCAGCTAAAAAAAAAAAACAACCCCTACTCATAACAAATCCAAATATTTTCGTGTATTTGCCAAAAACGGTCGACAAAAGGCAGGCAGCGAAAGTTAAGCAGTTCTGCTTGGTATTCTCAATCCGCTTCGATCATCTTGGTCCAAAATTTCTCCTTCGCTTGATTCGTCTACTTTGGCCTCTTATCCAAGTTAAACGATTTCTCTTTTGGTCGATCGAGTTTAGGTTGCATTTGTTGGTACTGTCAGCTGGGTAGTGAGATTCATGTGATTCAAGAAGAAGCTCGGTTTTTCGAGTGACGGCAATTTAGCCATAATCCAGGGCTGAAGATATTTAACTCGGTTCAGAATGATATCTGTCGTTTTAAAAGTGCACTTTCATTGGAATTACCTGGGGATCTGTCGTAGTGCTAGACACTTTAAAGGGAAAAAACTACGGCGGAACGGTAAATCTGTCTGCAAAACCTCTATTATGTTTTGAATGACCCGACCCTGTTCATTCTAACATTATGGTGTTTTGATAAGCGTCTTATTTACAGACAGTTAAAGGTTTTAACGAAATTTGCGAAAAATCTCCACGAAACACAGCCTTACTTTTTCGTGTCCCTGAGATTGGTAATGACAAGAATTAAGTTTGTAAGGATCCTTGCCTCTTTTTTTGCGCGAAATTCTGCCGGTTCAGAGTAGTTCATACCCAACTGAATATATTTAGGTACGGACGCGGCACAAATTTCCGAGGTAGTTAGCTCACTGTAGCTTTATAAATCTAATTGCATATTTAGCCTCGAGGTTTCGTCTTGCAGCACAGTATCACCTACAAGACTGAAAAGAAACGGGTAACTTCGAAAGAGTGAAAAACAAAGCTGGAATGTATAATAAACAAGTGTCTGAAATCTACTCGAGTAATGGTTTCGCTCTGACGAAGGGATGACGCTCGAAATGTCATCTTGAAACTCTTTACGATGGCTAATTAACATGACACCTTGAAAGTCGCTAAGGCTTTTCCTTGTTGGAAATGAACCCAGTTTAGCGACACATACGACGTTATACGAGTCGCCACATATGATTCGCTTTCTAATGATGTTAACGAATGTATGAAAGCGATCCTCGTAGTAATGAACCGTACTCGTGTAATAGTGGAAAATAAAGCCTGAAAAAAATTTGATATTAACGGATGTTTTTCTTTTTTCTCGTCTTACTAAGGACGTGGAAGACGTTTGCAACGGAAGATGTTACGGTGTATGAAGATACAAGACTTAAACCCTCACATTATGTGTATGCTGTGTGGTGGATACTTAGTAGATGCCACAACTATTGTCGAGTGTCTGCATTCGTGTAAGTTTAGGATACGACTTACGTTGCAAAGGCTTTCATTACTCATAAAAAGTGATTTAAATAACAAATGAACGATTTTTCTTTTAAAGGTATAATCTCAGTCTAAAGCTAACTACATTTAGCTTAGTGGAAGCAACTTTTTTTATGGCTCAAAAAAGCCTCTAGTGATCGCAAGTGGCGATCACTAAAGAAATATTTTTAATGATCACGGAAGTTGTAAACACGGAACTTCTAGCTTCAGACTTGGCTCACACTAGAGGATATTTTTCCGGATTCATAAATGTCACCGAATTCATCAGTTCTTGTTTAGGGTTATTGGATTCACAGGTTTTTACGCTAAAAACGTATCTGGATTCCCAACCGTTTACGTACTGCAATAAATCCGCAAACAATCCTGATTGAGTGGTTACAAGGCTGTTTCGTTTCATGCCTCGATCGACGACAACAAACTTCCGCCAAATAAAAAGGGGTAGAGTCGATCAAGATGCAAATTTAAGTTGGACAGCTGACGAAGTTGAACTTCTGCTCAGTCTTTCGTGCATATTCCACTCGAAAGATTACGAAGGGTTAGAATTGGTCGGGAGATGATCAAAAGCAAATACGGAGATATCGGGAAACAGTTCGTCACTTTGTGTGAACTACAGGATGGATCCTAGCCTGTTCACCTAAGAGAGAATAACAAACTCTAAATATTGCAGGCAGAATATACGCAGATTCGTTCTTCAAATCTTTAACAAGGATAATCTTTCCGAACTCAAAAGTTTTTGGATTCCATGCAACTTTAAATTTCGAATTAAAATCTCCAGAGACACGACATAAAAGGGAATGTTTCATTTTGCATTTGTGTACTTGTATGTAAACGGAAAAATTTAATCGGAATCTAAAACGTACAATTTCGTAAAACAATTTCTTTTAGTGTAAACCTAGTCTCATTGACTCGAGCAACAGTAACAAATGCAACAACAAGGATTGATCTGAATCAAAAACGTTATCTACCGGAAGAGTGTTTCAAAAACAAATTATCGGCCATCTGACCGCTCACAAAATCGACCTACCGTGTAAGTGAGATGTGGAGTGGGAGTGCTCACCTCAAGATCGCATCCATAAAAAGTTATGAAGCGATGCATTATCTATGGTTGGTGTTCATTTGAATTTTGGTCTTTTCTTGAAGACTGAGCTTAAAATATTACCTTCACGCCGCTTTGTCCAGCCTATTAGGCTGTTGCTTGTCATCATCTGGGACCTTCCTGGCAGACTGCAACCTCTAGGGCCTAGTTGTTCAAAAGGCGGATAACATTATCGAAAGGATAAATGATCGCTATCAAGCGGATAAGTCTTAACAAAGTGTACCGCGCGATCTGCCAGATAGAGCGGAGTTATTTAGTGGATAGCGTTATCAAAACTTCGAACAACTGGAACCAGATAGCTTAGTTTGGTTTACCATAAGCAAGACTCCACCGTCTGTTTGGAGAAGTAACGGGTGTTTGAGCCAAGCTCATGGCCTCGTCAATCAACGAATTGGACTGTTTCTCACTTAGGTCCGAGTCCTCTTGAGGAATCGGATTTTTTTCAGTCGCACACTTGTGAGAGACTTTTCATTTTCAACTTTTTTCATCTATAGTGTGTTCGTTGTTTCTAGTTTGTCGCAGTTGTATCGTAAAGTACCTCCAAGCATCTTATCACTGTCCTGTTTGTGCTGTTGAGGTGCACAAGACTAAACCACTACTCTACATAAGGTGAGAGATATATAGATTTTGACCAAATTCAACCACTTTTTCTGTATTTGTATTGCTCATTTACAAAGATTTAAGACCGAACTGAATTTAAAGTTTGGTACTTTAATACTGAAACAGGGAACCGTAAGTAACTAGGTCATAGCTGCTCGAAGATCTCCCCGAAAAACCCTCCCCATTATAAAATGTAGCAAAGCTTTGAACTGAATAAATGATCGAGGCACAGTAATCAGCTTATGACTTTCACTCTATGAACGTTATTGAGAACTGGCTGAGAAGACTGGTCCATTGAATACAAGAACTCAACCAAAACTTTTCACACTTTTTCACGGGAGTTTGAAGAAGAAACCGGAAAATCTCTTCTATAGGACTTTCATTTGTTTTTTATGTAGCCACCTGAGCGGTAAGTTCTGTTAAATGAAATTACTGTGGGGTTAGCTGCTAGGGTTGACCTCCGAGAAACGAATGGCCAAGGATGTCCGTAAATACCTCTTTTATTTTCAGGCCTGACCGAACCCTCCAAGAAATCGTCTTCAAACTCGTGCCTGGTCTCTATCAAGGTATGCCATGCGGTATGATAATTTTTTTTTCATCATCAATACACTGGTAGCTGCAGATATTCAGGGTTATTCATCCTAAAGCGCGTACATTTCAAAAACCAAAGCGACCACGGATTACCTTCGACACCCAATTCAGATTGCTCTGAAAAAAAAAAACCTGTAAATGTGAATCGAAGTAGTGGAATGTATGTCAGTGATGTATGTTTTTAATAATAATAATAATAATAATAATGATTATAATAATAATAATGATAATAATAACAATAATAATAACTTTTATTTATATAGCGCTCATATCCTGAGCTCATGGCGCTTTATAACACTGTGCGGGGAACTTTACCAGACTGCTAAGCAGTTTACAATCAATTAAAGACGAATCTAACAGATGCCCCCTCTCCCCAATTCCCAGTAAACAGGCTAGACCACATCACAGTAATCTTGTGAGTGGGTTCTTTAACGTCCCCTGTCTAACCAAATTAACTAATTAATAGATGCAGGAGACGGGACCTATGGTTTATTCGCGCGAGCATTGAGGTTTGATAGGGGAGAATAATGTCACGAACATGAGCGATTGCGCAGGAAAAATAGCGTTCACTATTTGTGCCAAGCATGTCGCTTGCCTTGAAGGATCATAGTACGCAAACAAGACGAGAGCACTTTTCCGTAGGAATTTGTGCGCAGAAAAGCTTTAGCCTCTATTTTCTGACTTCTGATTGATCAGAGAAAAAGAAAATAAAGAAGAACTGAATATAGACAGGTTCAGGCTCTTCCATCTTCCACAAAGTGTTGCGCGCTGGCCACACCAACAACAGCAAAGCTTTCATCTTGACCTTGCCTTTTAGTCGTACCACTGACTTTCTCGAGAAAAAGAATTTTGATACAAAAATCTTCAGACTTAAAATCGGCTCATTTAGAATCGAACACTATATCTAGATTGAATTCAATCTTGAATTTGTTTAGCTGAACAAAAGCTTCGACATGATTTCGAAGAAAATCAAATAGATGAAAGAGAAGAAAGCAAACCTTCAGGTAAACCATTTTATCACGGTAAGAACTACATTTTTGCTCGTTTCATTTTGACCTTGTTCGTTTGTTTTTGTTTGTGTTTATTTTTATTTGTTTTCTTCTTTGCCTGTGTGATTACTTGCTTGGTTTCTTGTTTCTTTGTCTCCTATTTTACATGTTTGCCTGTTTGTTTTTTTTCCTATTTGTTTGTTTGCTTGTTTGCTTGGTTGCTTGTCTGTTTTTTTATTTGTTTGTTTGCCTTTTTGCTTCTTTGTTTGCTTGCTTGCTTCAGTGTCTGTTTGCTTGCTTGTCTGTTTGCTTGCTTTTTGCTTTTTGCTTCTTTGAATGTTTGATTGCTTGCTTGTTTGCTTGTTTATTTGCTTGTTTTGTTTGTTCACTAGTTGTTTGTCTGGCAAAGACTTCCCAGCCTCAGTCTTCCAGTGAAATGATTTCCAGGTTTGGGTGGAGGGGTTCCCAGCCTGAGTCTTCCAGTGAAATGATTTCTAGGTTTGGGTGGAGGAGTAAGGTTGAATTATAATTTTAGTGTTTCGAAAAAGAGGCTTGAAGGAGAAACAATTCTAGTCCTATTCGCGTTATTCTTCTAACCAAACTATCCTTTTTTTTCAGACGAAAACGTAGTTCCGGGTGATTTCAAGGATGAAAAGGAAGTTGTGATGGAGGATCCGGTGTGTGTAACTCTAGAATACTACAGGTAAAAGTTGAACCGATGACAAAAAACAGTCCATCAATATAATGAGTTCTCCTTTTTCGCTCCGTTGAGTTTCCTTCTTTCTTTTCTCTTACTTTCTTTCCTTTTCCTTGTAGGCGAAAAAGAAACTGGTTGGAAAATCAGGTATGGTAAAGAAACTTATCAATGATTGCATGTAAAAAAAAAACCTTTTATCTTTATCGTTTTAGTCTTACAAGATTTTACGTGATTTCTTTGTCTAGATTTTTCCTACTCGTTATCTCCGATGTCCTTCCGCGGTGACCGTTGATGTGTTGAAAAAATTTCTGGTTGCAAAGTTTGCCATTCCAAATACACATCAGGTACAGTTTTTGCTCTCCTTACTTTTGCTTTTAATCCTTTATATGGAGTGTTTTTCCGAATGAAAGATGAGAAGTAAAATTTTAATTTCTCTTGGGTAATATTTCTTTCAAGGCTGAAATAATCCGCAGTGATGAAATCTTAGATGGCCAGCTGACGATGAGAGAAGTGTCCAGGATATACGGGTTATATGCTAAGGTAACAAAGATGATGATGATAATAATAATAATAATAATAATAATAATAATAATAATAATAATAATAGTAATAATAGTAATAATAGTAATAATAATAATTTATTAAATTATTATGATTATATTTTAGGGCTAGTGTAATTTCAATTTTATCTCTTGAACAATAAAGACGCATTTTTATTTTAGCATCGACAATAATAATAGTGATGTTGATGAAAAGGATTAGATTGTAAATAGGATTTTAATTGAAATCGGAACTACTACTAGGTCGCTTTTACTTTTAACTTGTAAATAGATATTTGCTTTGAGTGTTAACAAAGTTTGATTATTTATAATAATAATAATAATAATAATAATATTATTATAATAATAATAGACGCAAGGATTGTGGACAAGGAAAATCAGATCGTTACCCTCTTAGAGATGAGTTCCCCCTGGGTTGAGAATAGAGAACAGAAAGAGAGGGAGAAAACTCTCAAGTACGCCCCACTACGTTTGGAGTTGAAGCAGCAATTCCCGGGGTACAAGATCAACCAAGTGAACGTTATAATCGATGTTTTAGGGGGCTACTCCAATGAGCTGTAAGGTAGTGTTAGGGATTTGCTAGGAGCAGAACGAAGTAGAGAATGCCTGAGAAGGATGCTGAAGTCCGTGCTGAGTAGCAGCTTAAACATTGCGACATCTTTCAAGGTCTTGAGCTGAACAATATACTCGCAACATTAGGAACTTTTAGGGTTTTTGTTTATTTATTTATTTATTTATTTATTTAACGACTTTCTTTTAACTAGAATTTGAAGTTGATTTATGTATGACATTTTGAATAGTATATTTTCTGTAAATTTATACACAGAGCTAGCTACGGTTCGCTGCCTAGCTTTAGTGGTTTTTTTTTTTTTAATTAAATCTGGCATCCAGATGCGTATAACTGCCATAATAGTTACAATGGAAGATGATGTTATTCGGTGAACGAGGCAGGTATACATAAAGAAATACATTAGATCATGTTAAAAAGACGTCAATTTACAAACACTTTTCTAAAACACACTGTCCTAAGTGGCATAATGAACAGTACTGCGAATCGGGTAATCACAGCCTAAAATTGGGGCAGCGTGGAAATTGTTTTACAGCGATCTACCACTTTTTCCAGTGGCTGTTTCCTAACCTTAAGTGTTTGATGTTTGAACTATTTTTTCAGTCTTTTCTGGATCTGGAATACGCCATCTTGGAAGTCGGAGCGAAGGAGGAACCAACCCAACCACGAAAAGAAGACCTTGACATTACTCGATGGAAAAAGATCAAGATCAAAAAGAGAAAGAAAAGAAACAAGAAATTGAAAGAAATGATAGCAACAGAACTATTAACAAGAAATGAGACTGTTACGGAGTCGAAAAGTGAACTACCAAGTTTACCGGAAGAAGAAAACAAACCTTTAATCAAAAATGATATCTTGCCAACATTTCCCGACACCCCCCCGAATGTTGATCATGTGCAGTGTTCGCCACAGATCGATTCTCCAGCCTAAAGTCACGTGAACAACGCATGATCGATTACTAGGGCGAGACAGAGATTAACTTGAAATCAGTTTAAGTACTCACCATCTACAGGAGCCATCCAGTTGGACATTTTATGCGTTGAGATTTCCGATTTGAACATGACCTTACGGAAACAGGAGATAGATTTTACGGACCAGTCATTATTTAGCGCGGGGGAGGGGTGGTTAGAGGAATTTTGGGGAGGAGAGGAATCACATGGTTTTTAGAGAGAACGGAGGGGATCAGTTGTCGTCACAGAGTTTAGAGGGGAACCATAGAAAATTCCCTTCCAATCAGAGGGAATCATTTGAATGCTACACAGCCTTAAGTAAAGCCAAAAGCCCTCCGACCCTCTCTAGGCATAAATAGTGACAGGTCCCTTAAGCAACCTAAATTCAAGGGAAACGAATGAAAAAGCGATTCATTCCAATTTGTAGTTGCTCATAATTTTACTCACAATCCCATCAAAAAGATGGGAACTTGATCTCCTTGAAAATGTTAAGCATCGTTTGTTTGAACTTGAAAGCAAAGTTGGAAAAGTCTTCAGGACACTTGCAATCACTTTTTTGCACTTTAATTGCCATCCAAGTCAACCGAGCAAAATCTCTTACAACGCCGGAGAAGCTACGGCGAGATTTCGTAAAAGATATTTGAGCCTTTTCCTCAACTTACCTTATGCGGGTCTCCATCGTTTCAGACCTTTCCTCAAGAAACATATTTATTGTAATAAGAAGGTTTGAACAAGAACGAAGAGAAAAAAATTAAGAACTGTTCCTTGCACACTGAACATTAATCTATGATAGTTTATGAATCTCGCGTTCTTCTTTGTCTCCACACGTCACTTCTTCACTGCATTTCTCGCTTCTTCATCTCTTAGTTTCTTGCTTGCGGTTCTTCCCTGCTTCCTTGCTCCATTCTTCACCCCACCTTCCCTTCCTCCTTCCCTCTTCCCCCTCCCCCTCCCTCCTCGTTACGTCCTCACTGTCCTGCTTGCTTGCTCCATTCTTCATCCCACCTTCCCTTGCTCTCTCCCTCTTCCCCCTCCCCCTCCCTCCTCGTTACGTCCTCACTGTCCTGCTTGCTTGCTTTTTCACAAATCTGACCGCTTCTGTGAGACTACACCTATGTAACACACGTTTTTGCGTAAAAGAGAGTTTTCACTCAAAGAGAAGTAAAAACTCAAGAAAACAACCCA